GGGGCCGGCGCGCGCTCCTCCCTCCCCGCCGCGGCCCCAGGGTCGGCGGGCGGGACCCGCAGCTTCCGGGCTCAGGAGAAGCTTCTGGGAGCTGGGCCGCGCGCGTCCCCATGCACGGCGCTTCCCGATCTCCGCTTTTGGCTCTGTGACCACCCTAAAAAAAGATCTGCCTCCGAAGACTGTGGATTCGCTCGAGTATTCACTCGTCAAACTTTAAAATGCACTAAAATAACAAAATACTCTAGGCATTGTGATAAAGGCTTTTTAGTGACTACTGTTCTACCAAGTAGAGTTTGCTAAACTAAACCTTCACAAAATCCTTAAAATTTAGGTATTATTTTGCAGACGAAAAAACTGAGGCCTGATAACAATCACACTGAATGGTCAGATGGGGAAGCGTCTTATACTATTAACACTTCCATGTCATTAAATATTCTATGACCAGCAGGGCCTGGGGGTAAACGCCTGTAATCCCAGCACTTCAGAGGCTGAGGCAAGAAGATCTTTTGGAGTTCAGTACCAGCCTGGCTACAAATTGAGTTCAAGACCAACCTGAACTGCACAATGAGACCCTGTCTCCAAAAGACATAAATAAATAAATAAATAAATAAATAAATATTGTATGACCTCATTTTTACTGGCTAACATATGCCACCACATCAGCATACCACTATGTATTTTGCTAAACCTGCATCCAACTTCTTTCCTATTAGAAAAAATACTATATACGGCCTTCAGCCTTTCCAAGGTAGGATCTTGGTGCAAACTCATGGTTATTTCTAGAAGAGAATTAATTTCTAGAAGTAGAATTTCTCAATGGAAGGTTATGAAACATCCTAAGCATGATACAAGTTTTATGACCCAATCTTCCTGCTGATAGGCTGAAACCAATCTACATCACACCACACTGGATTATCTATTTTTACGAACAACTCTGCCAGATGGAGAGACTGAAAATGGTTTACTACTACTAGTGCATCCTTTGTTGGCACAGTAGGAGACAGCTAGATTTAATGTGAATTAGTTACCCACATCTGCTCACTGACTTCGGGGATGTTTGTCTTCTCTTAGTGATTTATAACTGCGTGCGTTGTGTTGCTAAAGATACAACCAAAGCACTCTACCGCTAAGCCATACTTCCAGCTCAGTGACTGCTCAGAGCCAGGCATGGGCACGCCTCTGTGATCCTAGCACTTGGAGGCTGAGGCAGGAGGATCTCCACAAATTTGAGGCCAGCCTGGGCTACACAGTGAGATCAGGTCCTGCCTAAACTATATAGTGAAACCTTGTCAGGGAAAAAAATCAAAATAATGACAGTAATAGTAATAACAATACTAGCTTATTACATTTTAAGAATATCTACCCTTGGGGCTGGCCAGATAGCTCAGTGGATTAAAGTGCCTGCTTATGCAGAGCGCAGCAGCCCGAGTTTTCTCCCCAGCGTCTGGTGCTGTTCTGGCCCTAAGCCCTGGAGCGCACTGAGACAGTGATTGCGACTGAGCATGGTGGCCTGTAATCCCAGCACTTGGGAGGCTGAAAACAGGAGGCTCACTACAAGTCCAGTCTACACAGTGAGACCCTGCAGACCCTGTACTAAATACATTAAAAAAATAAAATAAAGAATATCTACCCTTTTTCATATTTTAACTTTGTAATTTTGCAAAAACAAAATTTTAGTTCACTGTTGGGACTTTTTTTTATTCCTAGTAGAGCTCTTGGTTTTAACAAATAGATGATTTTCTTAGCAGATTTGTTGGGCCAGTGATTTTTTTTTTTTTTTTTTGGTCTTTTTGAGTCAGGATCTCAATGTGTAGTTCAGTCTGGCCTTGAGCTCACTATGTAGTCCAGGCTGGCCTCAACTCACACCGGTCCTCCCTCCTCAGCCTCTGGAGTGCTACAGGATTATAGGCGTGCGCCACCACAGCTTAACAGACTTTTTTTTTAAGGTTTTTTTTTTAAATTTTATTTATTTATTTATTTATTTATTTATTTATTTATTTTAGTGTGTGTGGCCAGTTCAGCCCACCAAGGGGGCGGGGCTGGCTGGCATGTGGTGCTGGGGGATTGAACCGCGCGCAGTCCCTGTGCTTTGCTTAGCTTAGTTTGTTCTAAGAGGGTGCTTTAGACCACTGAGCCATCTCACCAGCCCCTTAACAGACTTTTTTAAAACTCAAGGTTCATTTTTATTTTATTTTTGTACCAGGAACCAAACTCAGGACCTTGTAATTGCCAGGCGGGCACCTGTGCTGCTGAGCTATATCCCTGGGCCTACGGCTGATTTTTATGCAGCCTTCTTTGCCAGTATTTTCTTAAATGATTTCTGCCCTTGTACCCTGCCCTCCCCATCCCAATGTGACACAAAGACTAGAAGAAAACATAAAGAATAGGGAGGGCCGGGGCTCCAACTCAGTGGCACAAGTGCTTGCCTGTCAAGCGCAAAGTCCTGCTGTATATTAGTACATATACATACATGATATAGTAACACCGCCCAGAGGACCTGCGGGAGGAGGACTCCTTGGCCCAACCTCAGGGGCTCTGACGGATGGTGCGTGCATGCAGGCAAGGTGTGCTGTGGGGATGCTGCGCGCATGCTGCGTGTCTGATGTGCGCCTAAAGCCTGAAAGTGTGTTTTCAGGGGTGCATACAGCGAAGTGTTTCTGTCTTTTGTTTCTGCACAGACCCAGGGCTTTGACCTTTTTTTTAAGTACAGGGTCTACAGGGTCTCACTACACAGACCAGACTCGTAGTGATCCTGTTTTCAGCCTCCCAAGCTTTGGGATGACAGGCCCGTGCCACCAGGCCCAGTCTCAATCACCGTTTTAGCACGCCCAGGGGAGGCGGGGGCTGGCACAGCACTCCAGGATCAAACCTCAGTGCCTGTGCCTAAGCAGGCACTTTAATCCTCTGGGCTATCTGGCTGGCCCTTAGATCCAGAGCTTTGAACATGCTGGGCAAATGCTCTACCTCTGAGCTATACCCCTGTCCCTAAATATTGTTTAAAAGTGTAAATTTTTTTT